ATTTCTATTGGCTGCAATAGGCTTTGAGTGCAGCCCACATAAACCAAGACAGGAGGATGTCTTCTAAAGGAGACATAATAACCAAACTGGAAGAGAGTCACTTTAAGCAGAGATTTTCAGTGGGGTTTTGGATTGATTTTTATGCCAGAGATCTTAGTGCATATGTCCCACTTGGGGTTTTTATACTGCCTCTCCCTTTTTGGATCATCAGCTCATGTTTCATGTGCAATGAGGAGCCCTAGGAGAATTCATGGCATCTCTAGACAGAAGTGTGGTCATCTCCCACCCTTAAAAACATTAACTCAAGGGCAGAACTACACAAAAAAGTTTCAGGGGGGCATTGGGACATAAAGGCCCATCACATTAGCTATCCTGTGCCCATGTGCTCTTACCAGGAAGAGCAAGCACCCAACAAGTTCTGTCAACTTGCCTGTGTAACTCTACAAAAAATCCAAAGGGGCAATCAGGCCATCTTGTTGGGGAAAGTCAGACAAAAAAAAACAAAGGGGCAATCAGGCCATCTTGTTGGCAAAAGTCATACGTGTTTCACCTTACTGGCTTTTGGCTGCTTCACTGCACAGCCTTAGAGTGCTCTTAATGGGGATTTTCTCTGGAATCACGTTGCACTGTAAATGCAACAGCCTTGCCGTTGCTGTCTGTGCAAAATTGAAGATGAAATGATGCCTGATTTTGATGCAGGGAAGCAGATTTATTTTTACATGTTCCATCATTTACTTCCGTTGGTTCATGATGAATGCTCGAATAGCTCTGGGCTCAGTATTCCCATGTCTAAATTACATTATAAATTTGTGTTTATAGGTTTACAGATGCCCTCTCCAGAGTACATAGTTGATGTAGAGTCTATGGACATTTTCCCTGTTGGCTGGTGTGAAGCGAATGCTTATAACCTAACTCCACCACACAAAGCTGTTTGTAAGTACATGGAAACATCAAGCAGCATAGATATTATATCAACAGATATATCAGGGAGTTTCTTTTATGTCAGTAATCCCATTCTTGAAACTACCAACCTAGTGTGGCTGGTGGGTTTGCAATGGGGTCAATCAGAATGAAACCAGGTTTTGTTGTGCCGAACCAAGTTCATTCGGGCAGCTGAGTGAATTAGGGACACAGGACATAAAATTAGAAGAAAATTCACAAAATATAGGGTGAAATGGACATAAAGAGACCATCCCAGTGCTCCCTCTCCAAAACAGGATCTTCTCTATCTAAATTAAAAAATGTTTCCTGGCCTCCACCCCTTCCCAGAGTATCTATCCCCTTATTTCACTGGCCTTATCAGCTCAGAGATTTCCCTAGTGTTTAATTTAAATCTCTCCTGGTACAATTAAGCTTGTAGTGTTTTGTCTTGCCTCCAGTGTGTATTTAGACCAATTTCTTCACTTTCCATTTGCATTTGAAGGTAGTTCACAAGCGCTCAGTGGCTTGGTGTTGTTCTGTTCTTCACAGAAACTATCCAACTCCAATATCAAGCCACCAGATGAAAAATTAACCTTACTCTTCATATTAATTAATGTCTGAAAGGCAAATTTTAAAATGTGTCAACCCTTTTGAAGAGTTAAATATGCTTAAGTTAAAAATCAGGCAGCCAGGGTCTAATTTGGGAGAATACTGCTATGGCAACATTATGCAGCCTTATTGCAATTTATAGCTAGGGATAAATTATGCTGGAGGTAATCATGCTTGTAAAATGTAATCTTATCCATATGTGTTTCTGTATGGAAAATATTTGTGTTTTTATTTTTTTTTTTTTATACTGATCCCATAAAACATGATATTAGCATTCCAGAGGAAAGATTAAATGTATTATTACATCTTTAAAGTAGATTTTAATGATGTAGTGACTTACTTAAAAAACATCAAGAAAAGATGGTGATAGTAATTAAGTACCATTTCATTATGTTAGAAGTCATTTTATAGTCAGCGCATTTATCCAGCTTTTCATGCGCTATGGGTATACTTTATAGGACAGAAGAGTACAAAACTTTTTTTTTTCTTCCTTGCTTCATTTTTGCAGTGCGAAGGAAGAGAAGAATTGCAGTTGTGCAACCAGAAAAGCAGTAAGTTTTTGTTATTTAAGGTGATATTTTTACCGAGATGTGTCAGATCTTCCAGAGCAGATAATACACAGCAGCTGAGTGACTTTGCTAACTACTGCCCAGATATTGCAGCAGAGTCAGCAAGGGGATTATTTAAATCTAAAATATTTGTGAGCATGTTAGAAAGTCTTTGTAATAGATTATTTTTTTACTAGCTGTGACTGTGTAGCCAGTGTCTGATGACCAGTAAGGGATACTTATGGAAGATGGACATCTACCAGGAGAGCATTTCCCTATCCAGCCCTTGTGGTTTCTAGAAACTAAAATTGAAGGGATTTAAGTTTGAATATTTGAAGCCTGGAGGTCTAAAGCTCACAGACCAGAGTATATTTTTGGAGAAGGGGTAGATCTGACTCCTTTCTTCTGCAATATGCTGACCCTGGGCTATGATAAAGCGTATGGAAACAGGGTTGTATTTGGGGTATCTCCATTCCTTACTACAGGCAGGTCCTGGTGTATCTCTTGGTCCAGTCTGAAGGCTGGTTCAGTCACTTTTCCCCATTTGACACTATTAAATACACCAAATTGCTGTTTAACAGGTTACCATCCGCAGTGCCTGTTGAGAAAATACCTCATGACCTCTGCCCGGTTCCTCCACCAGACACAACAGGTAAGGCTGCTCAGCACCAGCAGGCTCCTTATTTCAAGGACCCGTTGCCTGTATGGAGGGGGATGACCCCAAAAAGGGAACGAATGTGTCCTACAGGTGGGAAGATGGGACCAGATCCTCAGGGAGTGTAGTGTGGACCCACCAACAGTATGAGGAGTCTGTGATGTACAGCATGGGAAGGTCTGGTCCTCCACGTGTGAATGTTGTGTCTTGCTGAAGTTATCAGAGTTCCCCTGCAGCTTGCCCATTTCAGCTAATGGTGTTAGGACCAGGCTAATGAAGCCCTGGTGGAGATGGATGTGACTTTTTAATTGGCATCAATGAAATTGCTTACAACCAGGACTTAATGGCTCCCCGTGTTAGCATCAAGACTGCGTGGCGTGGCTGCTATTTCTGCTAAAAGCAAATTTTTCTCCCCTTTAGCAATGGCAGGAGGCTCTGAGAGTGCAATATTCATCTAGTTAATTGCATAGACACTGCAGGAGGGGCAGGATTTAACTCACTTTATTTCAGCAGACTGCAGGACACACATTGGCATCTGAGCCAGCATCCCAGGTCCCTATTACAATCAAATGGGGAGAAACAGGCTATTTTTGGGTATGATAACCAAAAAGTGGATAACCGTTTGTATGGCACATGATCCACATCTAAAACTACCTGCTTCTCTCTATGGGCTATAAAGGAACCCAGTATAATTAGCCCAGACAAAGAAAACTGCTCTGTAGACCCGTGTTGGGTCGGGGGAATGGCACCACAGTGCTTACTGGGTTGGACAGTAGATGAACAGGGGTTTGTGGAGCCCTCCACCTGAATTCTCTCCCTGAGCTGATTCCGTATCTGTGAGAGTCAGCTAATCTGTTCCCTTTCTGGAAAGTTGCAACTGAGCTGCTCATGTCCATCTGTGATGCGAGTTATGAAAGAGCCTCGGGTCATGTTATGAGTGAAATCCTTTCCCGATTCTCCTTTTGGTACAGTGTGCAGCCAAATCAGTTGCTATTAAAAGCAATTGCTTTTCCCATGTTGGATGGATTTGAGTAGCAAAGATTTCTCTACTTTCTATCTTAGGGAAGATTTTTTGTGCCTCCTTTATTCTTCTCCCCTCCTTCCCACATCTAGGAGGAAGAAGAAGAGCCTTTGATTTATTGTACAGAAGTGCTACACGCACATCAATGCTACTTTCTCCTTGCAGGCACCATCAATGGGAGATACTGCTGCCCCCAGCTCTACATCAACCACCGCTGCTTCTCAGGTCCATATTTAAACAAAGGCAGAATAGCAGAGCTGCCTCAGTCTGTCGGGCCTGGCAAGTGCGTGCTGGTCCTCAAAGAGGTACGGCTCAGCTATCTTTCGGGGGCACTTCAGGGGAAAACATGGGTCATGGGTTACCAGGCCCAGAATTTGAAAAGAAGGCACCTAAAATTGTCCTGGAGCTCTTCAGCGGTTTCCATAAGTCAAAACTGCAAGCTGGGAAGAGAGGGTAGGTATATGCATTGGGGGTTTTAATGGGAGAGATGACATTTTTGAAACATGGGGAGTTCTGTTAGTTGTGAGCAAGTTTCATCTGAATGTGACTACTGTGCAAGCAAATTAATGTTCTGATCAGAACTGTTCCCAGAGAGGACCTCTGTGGTTGTTGCTATCAATCTGTTTCTCAGCATCCACGATACGGTTGGGCCAGCAGATTCAGTATGGGTGACACCTTTGTATGTGTGACCATGGTCTCACGGGGCCCAAACCACCAGGATCCAAAGTGAACGGGACAGAAGGCCAAGCAGGGGTGTGTGCAATGTACTGAGTGGAAACTGTGGTGTGCCCAGCTCTTGCTGAATGTGGATGGGTTAATCCCATGCAGCAGGGATGGCAGAGCACCACTATCTGTTCACTTCAATCTTCACCAAATCAGAGCTTGCTTTGGGCCAAATCCAGAGTGTTGAGTGCTTGCTGTTGACCTCAGAGAAAAAGCTATCTTGTTTGAAAAAAAAGCATTACTATTTTCCACGCAGATTACAGTCCATATATAGGTGAGAGGAAAGGTGAGTACAAGTGGGAGAGGACAGCAAGATGATACTACTAGAATCATGGAATCATTTGGTTGGAAAAGACCTTTGAGATCATCAAGTCCAACCGTACCTCTCCACTACTGAACCATATCTCTGAGCACCCCATCTACCCATCTTTTAAATAACTCCAGGGATGAGGACTCAGACACTTCCCTAGGCACTTCCCATTCCAATGCCTGAGAACCCTTTCAGTGAAGAAGTATTTCCTGACATCCAATCTGAACCTCCCCTGGCACAACTTGAGGACATTTCTTCTTGTTCTATCACTAGTAACGTGGGAGAAAAGACTCTTACCCGCCTCACTACAACCTACTTTCAGGTAGTTGTAGACAGTGATAAGGTCTCCCCTCAGCCTCCTTTTCTGCAGGCTAAACAACCCCAGTTCCCTCATCTGCTCTTTGTTAGACTTGTTCTTATCTGTTGGATAAGCAGAGTGCTGTTGGTGCCTTGGGCATCATTTCAATTTGATTTGGGTCTTCTAGAAATTCAGGTCTTACAGCTTTCTCGTCTGTACCTATATGAAATCCCACTTGATATGGATGCAAGGGCATATCTGAGCTCCCTCTGCCCTGGTTGGAAAGGCATGGGAACTTCTAGGTCTCCGTTTGTCTGATGTAATTTTAAGACCCTCAGTGCCCAGCTCAGGATGTTTGCAGTTGTCTGAAATTAGATGAATCCCAGCACTTAACAGAAACAGCTGAAAGGTGAGATTCTTCCCGAATCACCCACTGCTTTGCAAAACACCTCTGTACTGTACTGTAGAGTGACTCCTGTGTCCCCGCTCACTTCCTCATCACCTACATGTGCTGCTTTATACACAACAGCATTGCTGGTTGTCTCACAATGGTTGAAAGCAAGGCCATGAAGAGAGCCCAAGAATCCAGCTGCCTGTGCAGGTGGAACACTTGGATCTCAAAGAAATAAGTCAAAAATAGCCCTCAGCAGAAAGCAGGATAAAATGGTTGCAAAGCAAAAGTTGACAGCTGCCAAAATTGAAAGCAAGTCCATAGCAGCTTGCTGATGGGGAGCGTTAGCAATCTGCTGCTACTTGAAAAGCAGGCAATGATAAAGCAACGTGAGGGAAACTTGAGGCATGCACAGTCAATGCTTATGCTAATGTTTCTTCCTCCTTTCCTCCTGGAATTTGGATTTTGAAAACATAAGTAGTGCAAAGCTTCTGCCAGGTCCTCCCCAAGTATCTTGGGGCTTTGCTGCATACACTAACACAGCTTCTCCAGATTCCTTAAGAATGGAAGCAATTCCCACCTGTGGCAACCAACCTGAGTTTCCTACAGAAAGCCTATTTTGCTCTGTCTCCATACAGGAGGCTTGCTGAAGAAGCAAATAGCAGTGTCAATGAGACATGGTCATCTTGCTTTTGGAGACATGAATGACTTCCCAAGGAACAGGACAATGGCAATGGCCCAGCATTGCTCAGTGTTATTTTGCAGATAAATTCAAGCTCATTCTGGCCATGGGGGCCAGGTCCAAATTCTGGA